GGTGAACAGCCAGTCACTGTGGGAGATGGTGAACAGCCAGTCACTGTGGGAGATGTTGAACAGCCAGTCACTGTGGGAGATGTTGAACAGCCAGTCACTGTGGGAGATAGTGAACAGCCAGTCGCTGTGGGAGATGGTGTACAATATTTTACTTTAGGAGATGGTGAGCAGCCAGTCACTTTTGGAGATGATGAACAACCAGTCACTCTAGGAGATAGTGGACAGCCAGTCGCATTGGGAGATGATGAACAGCCAGTCAGTGTTGTGGGAGATGGTGAACAGCCGGTCACTGTGGGAAATAGTGAACCGCCAGTAGCTGTAGATTATGGTGAACAGCCAGTCACTGTGGGAGATGGTGAACAGCAAGTCACTGTAGGAGATGGTGAACAGCAAGTCACTGTTGGAGATGGTGAACAGCAAGTCACTGTAGGAGATGGTGAACAGCAAGTCAATGTGCGAGATGGTGAACAGCCACTCACTGTGGGAGATGGTGTAGATCCAGTCACTCTGGGAGATGGTGAACAGCCAGTCACCTTAGGAGAAGGTGAACAGCCAGTCACTCTGGGAGATGGTGAACAGCCAGTCACTGTGGGAGATGGTGTAGATCCAGTCACTCTGGGAGATGGTGAACAGCCAGTCACCTTAGGAGAAGGTGAACAGCCAGTCACTGTTGGAGATGGTGAACAGCAAGTCACTGTAGGAGATGGTGAACAGCAAGTCACTGTAGGAGATGGTGAACAGCCAGTCACTGTGGGAGATGGTGAACAGCAAGTCAATGTGCGAGATGGTGAACAGCCAGTCGCTGTAGGAGATGGTGAACAGCCAGTCACTGTGGGAGATGGTGAACAGCCAGTCACTGTGGAAGATGGTGAACAGCAAGTCAATGTGCGAGATGGTGAACAGCCAGTCGCTGTAGGAGATGGTGAACAGCCAGTCACTGTGGGAGATGTTGAACAGCCAGTCACTGTGGGAGATGGTGTACAGTCAGTCCCTGTAGGAGATGGTGAACAGCCAGTCAATTTTAGAGATGGTGAACAGCAAGTCACTGCGGGAGATGGTGAACAGCAAGTCAATGTGCGAGATGGTGAACAGCCAGTTGCTGTAGGAGATGGTGAGCAGCCAGTCACTGTAGGAGATGATGAACTGCCAGTCAATTTTAGAGATGGTGAACAGCAAGTCACTGCGGGAGATGGTGAACAGCAAGTCAATGTGCGAGATGGTGAACAGCCAGTCGCTGTAGGAGATGGTGAACAGCCAGTCACTGTGGGAGATGGTGTACAATATTTTACTTTAGGAGATGGTGAGCAGCCAGTCACTTTTGGAGAAGATGAACAACCAGTCACTCTAGGAGATAGTGGACAGCCAGTCAGTGTTGTGGGAGATGGTGAACAGCCGGTCACTGTGGGAAATGGTGAACCGCCCGTAGCTGTAGATTATGGTGAACAGCCAGTCACTGTGGGAGATGGTGAACAGCCAGTCACTGTGGGAGATGGTGAACAGCAAGTCACTGTAGGAGATGGTAAACAGCCAGTCACTTTAGGAGATGGTGAGCAGCCAGTCACTGTAGTAGATGATGAACTGCCAGTCAATTTTAGAGATGGTGAGCAGCAAGTCACTGCGGGAGATGGTGAACAGCAAGTCAATGTG